GGGGCGGCGAGACGTCTTCCCTGCCTTCCTCCCCGAGCGACCGGACAAGTACGGACAGGGGGGAGCGGTGCCCCGGTTGGGGCCGGGCCCGCTCCCCTACAAATCCTCCCCTCCCTGACTAGCAGGGAGGGGGTAAGGAGGAGGGGTGGATGTCCTCTCCCTCCTTGACAGGAGGCCAACCGGCGGGGGGTAACCCTCGTCAGGGACCGCGCCCTGGATTCCCTTCGTGGAACAGGGCGCGGTACGTTGATGGCGAGGGGCTCCCAGAGAATCCTGGGGCCGGGGGTTGGGAAGGGAATACGGGAGTAGTTCCCCCGACTCCCCTCCTCACGGTCCGACAGGTAGACATCCCGCAGGGGTTTTAGTCGGTAAGAGTCCGACATAATCCCCTCCCTCCCAAGGGGAGGAGGTATCCATGATGGATTTCCCCTGCGTGACCAAAAAAAAAAAGGAGGGAAGAGGGGTGCAAGAGGCGCGGAGTGTAGAGCGTAGAGTGTAAGGCGGCGGTAGAAGGAGAAGCGGAGAGAATGTAAAACGAATTGTAACTCTAAAGGAGAACAATAAAGACATACATACAGTGATTCCATATTGAAATTTAAACTGCTAGATAGGTTACTTAGTTGCGGTCGCTATATAATAATGCGGTCATTATGTTAGGTGTACAACTTTGCTTCCGCCGTTTTCCTATAGATAGCTTTAGCGGTAAGTAGTGGTCGAAATAAATAGATCATAGACATCATGCAATAAACTTGGACATCTGTCAACATAACCCCATAGAAACCCCATAGAAACATTAGTCGACTTGTGTCTGCATCATAAAGTTATTCTCGATTGAAAATGTCAGTTTATGAGCCAAATTCTCGTCATTTGCGGGAGGTTTTAATTTTCTGCTTCAATATGAAGAAATCTGCAGCTGAGGCTCATCGAATGCTCTCAAATACTTATGGTGAGGCCGCTATTAGTGAAAGAACGTGTCGTGAGTGGTTTCAACGCTTCAAGAACGGTGATTTTTACGTCGAAGACCGGCATAGCGGTGGAAGAGAGAAAGTTTTCGAAGATGCAGAATTGGAGGCATTACTTAATGTAGACTCGTGTCAAAGTCAAGAAGAATTGGCACGATCATTGGGAGTGACTCAACAAGCAATTTCAAAACGCCTCAAAGACATGGGAATGATTCAGAAGCAAGGAAATTGGGTGCCGTACGAGTTGAAACCGAGAGATGAACGGCGTTTGTTTGCTTGTAAACAGTTGCTTGAAAGGCAAAGACGGAAGGGATTTCTGCATCGCATTGTGACTAGGGACGAAAAATAGGTTCATTACGATAACCCCAAACGCAGAATATCATGGGCATATCCACGTCGACGGCCAAATCGAATATTCACGGCTCTATGGTTATGCTTTGTATTTGGTGGGGCCAACTCGGCGTAGTATATTATGAGCTGTTAAAACCGACTGAAACAATCACAGGCGATCGTTATCGAACGCAATTAATGCGTTTGAGCCGAGCATTGAAAGACACACGGCCGCAATACAACGAGAGACACGATAAAGTGATTTTGCAGCATGACATTGCTCGACTCCATGTTGCGAAAGTGGTCAAGACATACTTGGAAACGTTGAAATGCGAAGTCCTATCCCACCCGCCGTATTCTCCAGACGTTGCTCCCTCTGACTATCACTTGTTTCGATCAATGGCACACGGCCTGGTTGACCAGTACTTCCGGTCTTATGAAGAAGAAATTGGATCGATTCGTGTATCGCTTCAAAAGATGACCAGTTTTTTCAACGCGGGATTCGTACGCTGCCCGAAAGAGAAAGTAGTGGCCAGCGATGGACAATACTTTGAATCATAAATGTATAACCAGTTTTTTACAATAAAGCCTCCAATTTCGGAAAAAAACGGCGGAAACAAAGTTGTGCATCTAATAAATAAAAAAAAATCTTAAATTTATAAATTATAACAAAATGCAGAAGTAACTAGTATACAAGATGTTCGGTAATTAATTGCCAACCCGAAGTGTGAAGGTAGATTGGGTCAAGACAAATATAAAAGTCCCATACCGTTTGGCGAGATTTATAATAATTATCAAGTTATTAATTACAGAAATCTAACAAATGAGTGCGCGTTGTGGTGGATGATTAGAGAAGCGTCGCAGCCTCTTGGGTTACAGCGCGGCCTAGTCCACTCAGCAACTGTTGGTGGCGTGCGGCGAGACGTAGGTGCGGCAAGATAAAACAACGAACAGCGGCACGTTGTCCTTAAGGCCGGTCTAGAATAGGTTGCAAACACCGAGTTGCGAGTTGCGAAGGATGACAACTACTAGTTACAAAGTGCTGTTTTCGATTGTAAGGGATGGTTGCGATTGCCGGTTGCCGTCGCCAAGAAGTTAAAAGTTGGGCAACTCTCTTTTAGCAACCGCAACTCTCTTACAACCGAAAATAACCCTCCGTAACTAGTAGTTGCCATTCTTCGCAACTCGCAACTGGGTGTTTGCAATCTATTCTTACCGGCCTTAAGGACAACGTGCCGCTGTTCGTTGTTTTATCCCGCCGCACCGACGTCTCGCCGCACGCCACCAACAGTTGCTGGGTGGACTAGGCCACGTTGTGACCCAAGAGGCTGCGACGCTTCTCTAATCATCCACCACAGCGCGCGCTCATTTGTCAGATTTCTGTAATTAATAACTTAATAATTATTATAAATCTCGCAAAACGGTATGGAACTTTTATGTTTGTCTTGACCCAATCTACCTTCACACTTCGGGTTGTAAACTTATGACCCCCCACCCTGTATAATTTATAATAGTAAATATGACTATATAACATATGAAGATCAACATTACTTTTTATTATATTTAATAGTTTGAGCAACTGTCTGTCCGAATTTTCATTTTTCATCTTCGCCTTAAAAAAGAACGACCACAATTGCACCTAAATACAACCCTTATATCAAGGTCACAATGATAACAATGAGATCATACCGAAATTATTATTATTGTAATGTGTGAATGTCTGCATTGTCGCAAGTGTAATGTCATAAGAACATCACCAAAATCATGTTCATCAAAATGATGTTTAAGTTGTCACTGTATTAATGTGATTATCACGTGACACCATATTTGTGACAAAGCGGATATTTGCACATCACTGATTTCTATGATCTCATTGTAATCACTGTGATCTCGATGTTATGAGAGAACATTTCAAAAGAAGGATGTATAAATATGGGGGTTTGGTAACTGTCGAAGGATCGAGTAAATTTAACATTTTCCTATGTATTTTGATCCGTAGAACCAGGAAATGGTCATAAAATTCGCACCGGAAACGGGGAAATCCTTCAATTTTAATATACTTTAATACAAAGGCAATATTGCCGGTTTACACATTTTTGGGTCTTATTAGGAGAATTAATCAATATGAATAACCTTTGTACAAACAAACAAGCCTTAATAACCATCGAAACATGTATAGATTTACACTTTTACATATATCTTTCTATATTATTTAGTCATGTATTGTCAATATATTATACTTCTCTTTCTTTCTCTTCAAAAATATTTATGGTTTTTTATTATCCATATATTTCTCAATCATTAAGCTTTTATTTTCCTGAAAGTGATGAACCATTACACATCGTCTACGCAGTCTCAAAACCGCTCCCTGAATCGCCGCGCTGCTGACAAGGGAACTGTCAGGGGTGTCCCTCACCGATTTGATTCTCCTCGAAATATGTTATAAAACAAATAAATCAAAGAGACACGTATTTTTTTATATCGGCCCAATCTCATGTTTAAGGGATGAAACAACCCTTTGAAAAAAAACGGTCTTTTTCTTTGAGATCGAATATTGTCGAAACTATAAGATATACAAAAAAATTGTTTCAACAAAATTTTAATGGTTTGAAGAATACTTTGAGGTTATGCAAAGAAAGATATTTTTTATTAAATATTTTTTTATTTAACCACCACCTCCACCCCCCTTTTTGCAAAATTAGAAATTTTTTTTACCAAAGTAAAGGTTATTTTTTTCCAAATTCAACCATGTATAATAAAGTAACGTTACGAGAAATCATTTTCGAGAATTAATTGTTATTGCCTCCATATATACGCTTATCTATATACGTGACGATAGGCCTATCGTATATACGTGACGATACGCCTATCAGTTCGTCACGTTCGTGGAAACAAAATGTGCACCGTCTAGTATATAAGGCGACCGTGTATCTAACGTGAGCGTATAATATTCACAGTCAGTACAGTCTTTATACTCTGTTCTTCTATTATACACCATCTTTATACTCTATCTTCGGTTATACTCACATCAGTGGAACTTGCTAAACCACGAGAATACGAGAACTTTCATGTAAGAGGTACGTAAATATTCTACGAGCTACTGTCTTTTACATATTTTTCTCGACATAAATATGTTCCTTAATGTCTGGTGTATCGATGAAAAAAAGAAGAATTAAAATCGGTTAATATTTTGTATTGTTTTAGGTAAATGTTGAATATAAAATAGCTTTTACCCAATTATCGGAAGCACGTAAAAATTTTGAAGTGGTTGAAGTTAGGAGTAAATAGTTTTTATTACAACAGACAGCAAAGTTTAACATCCTTGGAAATGATTATTAATCCGCGTAACGTTGTTAGACTTTTATTGATGTCAATAAATTCAATGTATCTAATAGAAACGCCAGTAACTGAAGCAGAAATAGAATTAAAAGAAAACATACAAAAAGTATTACTGGATAGCATTTCTCATTATAATGGGTTGGAAGTAACGGAAGAAATATATCTCGATTATGAAGAACCTTATAAATTACACAGTCCGGAAATAATTGAAGATGTCGAAGAAGCATGGGGTGAAGATAATTTGAATTCTCAACCTCAATGTTCAAATGTTGACGAAGATTTTGACAATTCTTATAAAAGACGGGCTGTTGAGTATTGGCGGAATAGAGATAATGAAGAAAATAATAACGATAGAACAAGGAGTCTCTAAAATCAGTGCAACATACATTTAAAAGAGTTTCATCTCTACGTCAGTTAAGACGGTGGGAAGAACAATTGCAATCAGGTGGAAATCGTGTAGAAAAATTATCTTACATCTCCAAATTTACACATGGTAAATTTACTGCTGCTGTTGAATCAGGATTCATGGTTCGTGATATTGATATAAAAAGATGGGCTTTGCAAGCTCAGGAAGAAATAGGAAATTTACATCCTATATTTAAAGCATCTCCCAGTTGGGTAGCAAGATTCAAAAAGTCCCACCGAATTGTTTCAAGAAAAGTTACGAAGTTTGTCACTAGAAGAACATTGGAAGATTCTGTTGATTTGCAAAAAACAACTGATGATTTTTTGAAAGTAGTAAAACCTCTTATTGAACAGTTTGGATCTGAAAATATTTATAATTCAGATCAAAGTGGTTTCCAATTGGAAATTCATTCTGGAAGATCATTGTCTAACGAAGGAGAAAAGAAAACAGAACGTGTCGTGCAGTCTATATCATCAACCACACATTCATACACAATACAATCAATAATATCGTGTGATGGCAAATTGCTGTCACCTTTATTTATTGTGTTAAAAGAAGTTCATGGTAAATTTGGACCAAGAGTAGAAGAAAACTTGTTTAAACCAATAAATGTTATTGTAAAAGCATCGAAATCTGGCAAAATGACATCAGGTATAGATATTCTTTTATAACTATTTCATATTTTATTTAACAATCTAAAAGGCGTCATGAAAAAGCTATTAAATTAACATTTACATTTCTTACAGATCATTTTAAAATGTGGTTACAAGAAGCTTATTTTCCAAACATTGGTTCTAATAGCGTTCTTCTTATCGATTCATGGACTGGACATTGCCCTAATATCATTTCGGATTTAACACCTTCGGGAAAACGTATTACTACTATGATAATACTAAAAGGCATTACAGGAAAAATACAATCATTAGATGTGTATGGATTTAGAATTTGGAAAAATTTTGCTAAAAGATTTTCAGATATTGTTTTACTATTGGAAAGCGATATAAATGAAATAATATAATAAAGTTGCAATCACTGATATATAATCAGTTGTCATCCCCACGATATCACAACTTGTTTAAATATTCGTGGTTTAAAAGCGATTATACAAACGAAAGACCAGAAGAGTTTAAAAACCCTGTACAGTTTAGTTTTGACGAAACTTCAACTACATGTGACATCGAAGGTTGTAACAATATAGCGGTAATAAGATGTTCGTGGTGTAAAAAGTCATTATGTTTGAAACACTTTTTCCACGAATATCATTATTGTAATGAGTATAATGAGAGCGAATAACTCTAAATATTAATTTATTATGTTTTTTTAATTATTAAGTATGTTTATGAATTATTGTGTAAACTACAAAATATAAAAGCATAAATATGTACGAAAATATTCGAAAATATATACAAAAACATCAGTCCTTAATCCCTATGAGCCATAAACCCTTCATTGGATGTATGTGTGATTTTTTAGAAATATTTTATTATTATCATTCACAAACGTTTCGGTCATATATTTGGTCATTAATGTGCTCTTTTAAAACAAATAATTTTTCTCTAGTACTCTAAAGTTGTCTTCTTCATATTACGTGCGCTTAATATGTAATGTCTTTCCCAGGAAATCACCAAAAGCCATTATATATTTTCGAATCTTATTAGTAGGTTCAAGAACCCCGCGTTAGGACGAGGGGGTGCGTAAATGAAAAGAAAAGAATGAAAGAAAGAAAGAAAGAAAGAAAGAAAGAAAGAAAAATTGTAAGTTATATAGAAAACTTTAAAAATTTTATTTGAAGCATTTTTTTATATATGTTTTACTGGTTGAACCATAATTACCTGCGCACATAGCACAGATAAGCATATATACGGAGGCGATAACAATTAATTCTCGGAAATGTTTTCTCGTAACGGTACTTTATTATACATGGTTGAATTTGGAAAAAAATAATCTTTACTTTGGTGAAAAAAATTTTTAATTTTGCGAAAAGGGGGGATGGAGGTGGTGGTTAAATAAAAAAATATTTAATAAAATAATTTTTCTTTGCATAACCTCAAAGTACTCTTCAAACCATTAAAATTTTGTTGAAACAATTTTTTTGTATGTCTTATAGTTTCGACAATATTCGATCTCAAAGAAAAAGACCGTTTTTTTTCAAAGAGTTGTTTCATCCCTTAAACATGAAATTGGACCGATATAAAAAAATACGTGTTTCTTTGATTTGTTTGTTTTATAACATATTTCGAGGAGAATCAAATCGGTGAGGGACACCCCTGACAGTTCCCTTGTGAGTATCGTAAGTACGGCCGCTCACTCACCAGATAGCATGCGCCAATCCGTTAAAAAATAACACTGGCGAGTATATAAGTATCCGACCTAAGAATCGATCAGTCAACAAAAACGCTGGAACAATTTTGTCTGCAGTTTTGCGGATATTCCTTGTTTTTCCTCATTTTTAAAACAGATCGTAATTAACTCGAAAGATCGTTAATCATTTAAAGATTTTTTTGTAATTTCTGAACCTCTTTTTAATTGTTTTATTTAAGGAGTTTGCAAACGATGCTATAAAAGCATATATAAGAATAATTATAACAACTTGTGTAACAACGATTTTGTTCAGAATATTGATTTAGCAAACATACAAACCCACATAGCATGTAATATTACAGAAATATAGTTAGATTGCAATATATCATTAACACATATTATACATATTATAATATAATATTACAAAAATATTACTAATATATTACGTTTATATATGATGTTGAAATATTATAATAATAGTGAATAATATATTACGTTTATATGTAACATTAAAAGATTATTGTAATATTGTATTGCAATATGTATTCCATCTCAAGTAGCAAGATGATGTCAAATGACGTTTTTATTATGTCTTATGGACATTAGAAACGTCATTGAAACGTCATTTAATCCCTAACAGCCTAGATGTCCAGAGAACGTCCACAATACGTCTTGAGAACGTCCTGAGGACGTCATAGGGACATTTCTTCATCCTCAGGACGTTCCCAGGAGAACATGTGCTGTCTGGGACGTCACTTGCTACTTTAACTTAAACGTTATACATCGCATTGGAGTATAAATAAAATATTTCGGGGATATTATAGAGCATACCATTTTAAATGAGTCAGGCAAAAATCTCGAAAAATATGAAAGATATTAAGAGACATTTCAGACAAAAAAGAGTAAATAGAGTAAAAACATCTAACACTATTTTTTCTTTCAACAAATAGTTAGCGAGATATCATATTAGTACTAGTAAGTTAAATATTGAAAAAGTTACCAAGTTTTCCTTAAATATTTCAAAAAATATTAGGTAAATAAAAAATTGTTTCAGATAAAAGTTGTTCAAATTAATTGATAGAAAAAGAAGATAATAAAAAAATGGGCTTTCTATTTAAGAAAAGTAATAATCAGTGAATATCTCGAAAGTGGTATCATCTGTAAACAAAATGATATATTAGGTATACAAATGAATAATTTTTTCCAATTTTTTCAGCTACATTCAAGGTTTATTTTAAAAGAAAGTAAATTAAATCGTTCAATCAAAGTATTCGTTGTTGCTTTCTATAACTTTAAGCCATCTTTCAGGCAGTTGACGAATTCCATCTCGGAAAAATGTTACGTCTTTGGACACGATAAAGTCGTCAAGCCATTTTCGGATCTCATCCACTGATTGGAAGTGCATATCGGACAAGGCGTGTTGCATTGACCGGAACAAGTGATAATCGGATGAAGCAATGTCTGGTGAATATGCCGGGTACTGCAAGACGTCCCAGCCAAGACTCATTATGGTGTCTTTTGTATTGGAAGCAATGTGTGGCCTGGCGTTGTCATGCAACAATTTCACTGGACGTTCTCCTTTGCCAGTATACGGGCATTTTCGTTCCAATTCTTGACTCAAGCAGATTAATTGACGTTGGTAGCAGTCCGCAGTAACTGTTTCGCCCGGTTCCAACAACTCATAATAAAGCACGCCTTTGATATCCCACCAAATGCAGAGAAGAATCTTCTTTCCGAAGCGATTGGGTTTTGCGACCGATTTTGATGATTCGCCGGGATTTACCCATGACTTTCTGCGTTTCGGATTGTCACAGAGTATTCATTTCTCATCCCGTAACGATTTTCCACAAGAAAGACTTTCGATGCTGTTTATTGAGAAGAGAAAGACACGCTGCCACTCGTTGATTTTTATTGGTTTCAGTGAGTTCATGCGGTTAGGCACCCATTTTCTTTCTTTGTGGATCTTTCCCATCTCATGTAGGCGTTTGGAAATCGTTTGCTGCGTTACTCCCAACTGTTCTGCAAGCTCTTTTTGTATTTGTACCGAATTCTCAGCGAGCAGTTGTTTCAAATCATCATTATCGCACTTCGGAGGGCCTCCAGGGCGTTGTTTGTCGATTAGAATGAAATTACCGCTTTTAAACCGCTTAAACCAAAATGTGCACACATCGTACGATATAACACCTTCGCTGAGAAAGGAACAAATCGATTCGCACTCTCTTGCAGCATATTTTCCTTGTTGGAATTCGTAAAGAATGCAGTGTCGGATATGCACCTTATCTGTTGCCATTTCCGACTATATTGAACTGAATACTTTTGAAGGTTATGTTGGGCCTTTCGTCAAACTATATGTTTTTTTTAATAGCTATATGTCAACATTGCATAATCACAAAAGAGCAGGAAAATCTATTCAATTTAAAATTGATTTCATAACTGCTTAAAATAATTTGGATTATTCATTTGTACACCTAATAGTTATTCTATGTACCCCTTGAAACTATACAACTTTTGTCTGAAACATTTTTTTCTAAAATGTTTAGTTTTCAAGATATAACAGTTGTAAAATTTTAGAATAAAGGCAGAAAAGTCCGAACTAAAAGTGTGAATACATCACAGAAAACTGAATTGCTTACATCTTCAGGAGGTAAAAATCATTAAACATAACATTTCAACAATAACATTTCAAATCTAATATTAAATTAACTAATATAAAATTAACTCTTATGAAAGAAACATTCAAATGTTGAGTGTTTACATTCAATTATTCGAATTTACTATCAAATATACGTATACTCGTACACTCAAATTTGAGTATTTTTTCCGTAAGAGTATTCTATAACTTTATAGTATTACAATAATATTATTGTGATATATAGGGTAGGGGGTTAATATAAGTATAAGTTTACAACCAGAAATGTGAAGGTAGATTAGGTTAAGACAAACATAAAAGTCCCATACCGTTTTGCGAGATTCGCAATAATTATCGAGTTATTAATGACATAAAACTGAGGAATGGGAGCGCGCTGACATAGATGATTGGAGAAGCGTTGCAGCTACTCAGGCCACAGCGCGGCCTACTTGACCCAGCAACTGTTGGCGGTGTGCGGCGAGACGTAGGTCCGGCGAGATAAAACAACGAATAACGGCGCATTGTCTTTCCCTTCGCCGCGCACTGGCAACAGTTGCTGGATCGACTGGGCCGTGCTGCGGCCTAAGCAGCTGCAATGCTTCTCCAATCATCTATGCCGGCGCGCTCCCACTCCTCAGATTTCTGTCATTATTAACTCAATAATTATTGCGAATCTCGCAAAACGGTACAGGACTTTTATGTTTGTCTTAACCCAATCTACCTTCACACTTCGGGTTGTAAACTTATAACTCCCCACCCTGTATCAATATGACAATATTACTATGATATATTATTACAATATCATTGTGGTGTATCATAATATTACTGTGATATCACTGCAATAATGTAGTAATATTTATTAGGTCAATTGGAAAGTTCCGTTCGTTTTCTTGCAAAACGTATGGCTTTATTTAAGAAACAAAATGGAAAAGTACATCAATCAAAACATTGTCCATCATTAGCGATGACTTTTTTCCATCTTTCGGTCAGCAAGCAAATTCCGCGGCGAAAGAATGACTCATCTTAGGAGGCTATCCAGTTAGAGACATTTTTCGACGTTTTCATAAGAATTGAAGCATTCCTCAGCAAGTGCGTGTGCCATCGACCGAAACAAGTGGTAGTCGGAAGGGGCACAGTCTGATGAATAAGCCGCATGGGGTAACACTTCCCAGCGAAGTGCTTCTAACGTTTCTTTGACAGATTTTGCGACGTGAGGCCAAGCTTTGTCATGAAGCAAAATCACTTTATGCTATTTCGTTTCATATTCTCGTCGTTTTTCGTGCAATGCTCGGCTCAAACGGATCATTTGTTCTCTGTAGAGATCCCCTGTGACTGTTTGACCACTTTTCAACAGCTCATGGTACAGCACACCCTTCTGATCCCACCAAATACAGAGCATTGCCTTTTTTCCGTGGATATTCCGCTTTGGCATCGATGTTGAGGGTTGGCCGGGATCGCAAATAGTTTTTCGACGTTTGGAATTGTCAAAATAAATCCATTTTCATCCCCAGTGACGATACTATGTGAAAACCCCTTTCTTTGTTGCCTAGCGAGCAGAGTTTCGCAGGTGGTTTTTCGCCTTTCAACGTCTCTTGGCTTCAGTTCATATGGGACCCATTTTCCTTCCTTGTAAACCTTGCCTAAGGCTTTCAAATGATCGGAAATGATAGATTGAGCATAATTTAATGTTTCTGCAAGTTGCTTTTGCGTTTGACATGGGTCTTCGTCCACCAATGCCTGCAATTCTTCGTCTTTGAATACTCTTGGCCGTCTAGAACGTTCTTTGTCCTCTACATCAAAATCACCAATTTTAAAGCGTTGAAACCATTCTCTGCATGTTTTATTGGAAAGAGCATTATCACCATAAACTTCTACAAGCATTCGATGAGTTTCAGCTGCAGTTTTCTTCCAATTGAAGTAAAAGATTAACACTTCGCTTAAATGACGCTTATTTGGCTCAAATTTCGACACTTTCGATGCAGTGAAAAACTATGTTATTGATGCAAACATATATTTTTATGTACTGAATGTTATTGACAGATGTCAAAACAAACTATTAAACTTCGTTTAGACATTACAGGTTAACGACAATTCTAGCTATAGCTACTTGTCGCTAAACGGACAGAACTTTCCGATTTACCTAATAAAGGGTGTCCCAAAATTCACGCAAGAAATAATTTTGATAGAAAACAGTTTTATAATTAAAAATTGTAAATTTTTTATTGATTCATAAAGCATAGGGTTATCATACAGTATAGGATTATGTATGGAATATCTGGTAAATGGTCTCCACGGCTTTGCTGGCACATATGCACTCTTTTGTTGAAATTTTCCATGACCGTTTTGCATAAATGTGGCTGAATTTTGTTGATACAGCGCTCAATTTCCTCTTTCAAGGCGTGGATGGTCGTGGGCTTGTTGGCATAAATCTTAAACTTCAAAAAACCCCAAAAAAATAGTCCAACGGCTTTAAATCGCATGATCTGGGCGGCCAAATCAGATCACCAAAACAGGAAATTACATGACCAGGAAATGACTCAAGCAGTAATTGAATTGTTTCTCGGGCTGTATGGCATGTGGCACCGTCTTGTTGAAACCACATGTCGTCCACATCCATATCTTGCAATTTAGGCAAAAAAAACTGGTTTATCATGCCACGAGCACCATTAACTGTTATTGTCCGACCAGCCACATTTTCGAAGAAGAATGTCCGAAGGTCTGATGATGCCTGCAGCCCAAAATCCGCACCAAACAGTGACACGTTGTAGATGCATTTGTTTCTCAACAATCACTCGTGGATTTTCTGAACCTCAAATGCGACAATTTTGTCGATTAATCAAGCCATCAAGATGAAAATGAACCTCATCGCTGAAGATGATTTTGTTCGAAAAATCAGCATCCACTTGTTGTTGATTCTATAATCCATTCAACGAACTCTCTTCGCTATGGCCGTTTACTCGATATGCTATTCCATACGTATTCCTATACTGTATACTTTATGAACCAATAAAAAATGTATAATTTTTAATTATAAACCTGTGTTTCTATCAAAATTACTTCTTGCATGAATTTTGGGACACCTTTTATATTATGGTATATTACGTTGTAATATTACAATGGAGAAGTAATATTATTGTGATATTGCTGTAATATGTGCTATGTGGGAAGTCATGCTGGATTGAGTACAAATAATGAAGAACAAATAGAAGTAGTTACTTTGTCTTTCTCAAGATCATTATATTCCACTCATTCATGCATATTTTCTTGCTTTGTCGGAAGGTATCAAAAATTAATTTATATTAAAAAATCAATCAGGCTGAATGTTTTTCAAATCAAATCCCGCATTTATCTTTCAAATGGTCGTCAACGATACATGTGCGAGAATGGCGAAGATTTCATCTTGTCTTAGTGGGCTGGATCTGCCTGCGATCTTGCCTTAACCGGTTAGATCTTCCCTTATCTTGCATTAAGTAGCTGAATCTGCCTCTCATCTTGTTATTAAGGCTTGTTTACTTATGCAAACGTTTTTCAGACTAATTAATTCTCCTAATGAGACCCAGAAACGCATAAATCGGCAATATTGCCTTTATCTTAACGTATATGTATAAAATTAAAGAATTTCCCCGCTTCCGATGCGAATTTTATGACCATTTTCGGATTCTACGGATCAAATTACATAGAAAAATGTTAAATTTATTCGATCCCTCTACGGTTGCCAAACCCTCGTATTTACATACCCTTCTTTTTGAGAGGATTTTATATTTTTCCCAATTTTAGACTAGCCATATCAGTAGATTCCTCAAACCTTACACTTTGCAGCTCACCAATAGAGCGATTTTAGGAACCTGTAAATGTCCAGTTTCCGAAATAATGAGGTACCAAAACATGTCAAAAAATATATCGATATTGCATTAACCAATGTGGGATGTCTTTTGTGAACACAATCTTGCGTTTTCGCTAGAGAAAACATTGAAATATATATATTTACATACTTTCGCCACTTGACAGAGACCAGCGGCAGCTTCAGTATGCCCGAAACGCGATTTCACCGAACCCACTAATAAAGGAGTACTCCTCTTTGAACATAGAGCTTGATCGATGGCGTTAATTTCTACCAGATCTCCTGCTAAAGTACCAGTGCCGTGAGCTTCGATGTAAGACAGCTCTTCGGGTGTGATGCCACACTCATCGTAAAAGTCTTCTAATAATTTTTTTCACATGCTCAATGAAGGATGCACAATTCCATCTAGCTTCCAACCATCGCAATTAGTTTTAGAATAGACTAAGGTAGCGTAGATTCGTTTTGCGTTCTTTGCTTTTTGTAGGTATATTACTACGGTTGCTTCACTGCGCATATAACCGGAACCGCTCTCATCGAACGGCTTGCAATAACCATCAGGGGAGAGGATTCCTAAAATTGTTCAATCGATTGACAATAAAGCGTTTCTCATTAAGTTGTTGTCATTACAGCGTTTGCACGTAAACGAAAAATCTCTTTATATATAACAATTCCATCTTTAAGTACAAATACTTACCGAACTGAAATTGCTGAAACGTTAAGTTGGGATGAAAACACAGGTTGGCACTACCCACGATAGCTGCGTCGCATTCTCCACTTCGTATCATTCTATAAGCTTCTACAATAGCTTGGTGGCTTGAACTGCAGGCCGTGTCAACGACATAGGATGATCCGGTAAGATCAAGCCAATTAGAAATGCTGTTTGCTAGCCAGTATCTACTACAGCCAATAATTGGGAATCCAGCTGCCTAATTGAAAGTAAATTACGTTCATGTTGGTCTTTGTCTCTTACCCAATTTTTCTCTTTGTTACGTACATATGTTTGCGCTTATGCTTATGTAAAATACGCTTCTTCAGTTATATTACAGAGAAAAATCTCATACCATGTGTGTGCCAGTGTGTATTAACTGTTTTTAGTGTCTTGTTTAATTATATGACACTATTTAATGTTTAATAATTGTAGCATTTTCAATTTTTTACGTCAGGTATTTAATAAGTATTTAATAAGTCTGGGCACGAACATTTCGGAAACAAGGATATTTAGCGTAATCAAGAATTTTGCAAGAAAATGTGCTTGAAGCAAAGGTATAACGTTTGCTTATAATATTTCTACTTCATTATTTCTTTTCCGAAATATTCGGTCGTCCTAAAATTCCTTTCATATCTTTAATATCATCTAATATTGTACTTGAGCCCTGCAATAGAGCATGTCGTTGGCCGTCTCACAGTAACATGATCCTATGAAGACACCGGTTTTTGTTCCTCGTAATTCCTTAGGATTTACTCCAGCGTCAGTAAGCGCTTCGTAAGTGTGTTCGAGCAACAACCTGCACATGGGATCGGTGACATGCGCTTCCACAGGTGAAATGTCAAAGTATTGCGCGTCGAACTTGTCTACATTATTAATCTTTCCCGACCGAGTTGGCATGTCGTAGTTGACTGTGAAAATTTTGAACATTCATTTTTTGTATTGGAGTATAATATATCGAATGTTCGTCGATTGTTTTTCTTCTTTTTGCTTGCTCCTTAATATTTAATTTGAATGGCGACTGTACGTTACCGTTGCTCCACCGTCGATTATCGTCCGAACCGAGGTCCGAAGTATTAAAAAGATTTTCTTGTAACTCCTTCATATTATCTGTATCGGGAAATCGTCCTGCGATACCGGAGATCACAATTTCCTCACCCGGTGGAACTTTCACGTAGGGATTATACTTTCTGCTATTCTCCATACTTTCGCCTCGCTAATGTATCTGTTTGTATTAAAAATGTATTAAAAATGCAAAATACTTTCTACTCCTTCGGATCGAAATAAATACAAGAATCAAAGGAATCAAAGGGTTGAATGAATGTACAATCTTATTCTACAAGCAAACATTTCGCGTAAGAGAAATGCATGCAATGTCTAATATACATGTGAAATGGAAAATTCGTTGTCTTCTTCCGTGTAACTCGTCAGAATAGAATTTCGTAATAATCTCAACTATTACGTCACGTCATCTTGTATCATGTTCTGAAAGCAGCAAGTATGTACATATCTTGAGATTGAATACTAGTCGTTGTTGAATGAATCACCATATTTGAACGAAAATATTTGTAAAATCTATCGGCAGACACGAATGTATCGATATGATATTTTTGATGTGATTGTTATCATATGCATTAATATCAACTTTTTATTCTAATTTTCTTATGTCGTCAACCAGTGCTATGTTTCTGTTCTTTGACATTCTCTCTTCGTCTCTACGCATACAACACGCATTATCCTAAAGACGTCCTACAACAATTTCCTGAGAATATACAAATATCCGTTGTTTTAGATCTCATAGATATCCTACGGATACATCTTTTAGTAATAACTTTTGGAAACTAAAAGTTTCTGAAAAGGAACTAAAGTTACTAAAAAGGATATCCGTAAGATATCTGTAGAATCTAACAACGGACATTTGTATATCCCCAAGATATTATAGTATCTCAGAATGATGTCTATCGGACGTCTCTGAAATAAAGTGTGCTGTGTGAGTATCAACCTTCCATCAACCGCGCTCTGTCTCGTTTGCATTTTCGTCGCTACTGTTTGTCGTATTCTAAAATAGAACGTCGCATAATTAGAATAATGCATTATTCTAATGCGTTATTCTATGTACATGTATAATAAAGGTCAAATGTCATCATTCTTCCTGTTATATGATGTGTGAGTAGGACTTGCTATTCGAAGTGCACAATTCTGTTCGAGTTTTCTATTTAGCTTATTCGAGGTGCATAGTTTTTTTCAGACATATGAATAAAGTTTGTCTTCGAACAAATTTTATATACTGAATGTTATCAGTTCAAAAAGTTTCTCACAACAGACAAACGTCCTATATGTAGAAAGATTGAGTAAGAAATTGTCGTTAGGAACTTTTCAAGGAAAACATGATTTTTGTAGCTCGTATTTTACTTATCTCTTATAGAAGTCAGTTATTTCAGTTACTTTATTTGTTCTCTCTCATACGTTCAGTTATTCTTTCATTATTGGCGAATCTGTCCAACGATATAATCGGATGATGATATTCATTATACTCCGACACGCTGTATAGATTTACATTTTATCTCCTATATTTATTTTTTAGTTTTCCCTTATAATTAATACATCATCGAATGTGAAACATCATACCATAGAAATTATAGTAATTATGTATATTAAGAGACGTCTTGCCATCGACCTTGAACTTCATATAAGTTATATCAAGGACATATCCCTAAGTAATTTGCAAAAAATTTCGGCGGTCATTGTTTATTAAAAAGTTATTAACCAAAGGAGAAGTTTTGGTAAAGATCTAGAAGTACTATTTCACTAAAAATCGCAATTTTTTTAGTAATTAATAGAATTAACTATAAAAAAGCATGTATATTAGGATATATATTATATTGGGATGGATTAATTTATTTTTAGAAATGAGAAATGCAAAAAGAGGAATTTTGCTCCTCCTTCGTCAACATACAGAGTGTATAAAAGTACTGGGACGGTGAAATATTACAAAAGCTAAGCATTTTAGAAAAAAATGTTTTAAATAAAAATTGTAGGGTTTCAAAAGATCTATTTATGAGTTTGATCTTGGGTGGCGTCGCCAAGGTCAAGATAAGGTCATTTTGAATTTTTTAAATAGGGCCCCCTATTTTTTATTGCATATTCTTGTAGCCCTTCTTCAGACCTTTTCAAAGTACTATAATTTTTTTCACTTTGAATAAGCGGTTTCGAAGTTATCAAGCATTTTATGATTGGATGTCCAGCCAGCGGTTGGAGCAATTTCGTGACTTGTATTTCAGACACATGTAATATTAAAAAATAATACTAATGTACTAAATTTATAACAGCACTAAAATTCACCTTCGAATCATTTCAAATCAATTGCAATGAATTTGACTTGAAGTAGAACATATTACTTATACATGATACGTATTGTTTCATACAGAAAAAATAAATGATTCTGTTACGTCCTGCGGACTCCGCGTATTTTGAATTTGTTATCAAGTAGGGCGGATTGCATTTTATATTATACGACCAAATGTTCATATTCCGCGACCCTCCGAGAACAGTGACGTCACACACACAGATTTCTCTTTCTTTTTCTCTCTGCTTTAATCACCGGAGTTTCCTCTATTTCCGTCGGAAAAGATCCGCCGAGTCATTTTGGCCATATATCTCCTCTCCAAATAACCTTAAATAACTTCCCGTCCGGAGCAATAATTTCCTTTGAAGACGGACCGACCAGACAATCTTTCATGCTGTTATATGATATTACTAGCCTTTGATCTTCGGAAACTCATGCTTTCCCATGTTATTTATAAATTCTTATCGCGCACAACCTCTGACTAACCCTAGCGGACCCTAGGCTTCTTTTATAAATAAGGGAAATCGAATTTATTACTTATCATATAGCCGAATGCGCTCAGGCATGATACCACACAACGATATCTCTGGAATTTTCGATATCCCGAAAATACTAACAATCTTGAATCAACTCCTATCCTGTTTCCCACGCGCTTAATCATTGATAACAGTATCACGACATCGTTCTTAGAAATATCGATATTTACTTCTTAAGATAGCTGCCACGTTTTTTATTTACAAAAGACTTTCGAAATCCTCTTATTGCCACTTATTGCATCTTATCTCCTATAAAATAATCTTCTGGAACATTTCCCCCAAAACCCCACTCTCTCAACCAAGCTGACTTTTTGTGAAAAGTCAAAAGCCTCACTCACTTCTCACCGATTCAGCACCCAGGACAGACGCTTCTCTCCAGCACCTCTTCAGGGTTTCTTAACAATCAAGCCAACTTGTGGCTTAGACCAACCAGTATTCTTCACTTGTTAATTTTTCGGTGTAACGATCTTGTGCCTTCTTGGGCCATTGAGAGCGATCCTGCCGAAATCAGCTGCCCGTCCTTGGCGCAGAACTTGAGGCATATATCCTCACGGAGATGCAGCAACCACACCTTTCATTGTCTACTAAGATCAGAGAAGTCCACCAGTAAGTTATTTATATTTTCTTTTATCTGAGTGACCTCTTTCGTTTCATTTTTTTTATCTTTTCTTCTCTCTCTTTTCTTTTCCTTTCGTTTTACTTCCGTTTTCTATCCCCCTTGGCATTCCTCCTTAATTGTTAAATCAGACGCCAGTGGCCAATCTTTTCGATCACAGTCGGACATAACGAACACGGAATTTTGCTCAGACCGCGATTGTTTATACATATATGTATACGTACACATTATAAAAGCTTATAAATTTTATTTCATTGTGAATATCCGTCTAATTACTAATAAAACAAGTTGTTTGTAATTGTAAGCCAATCACGGTTTCCAAATAATTATTCTCAACCAAAAAATTCTCCCTTTCCTCAACCGTCGCTCACAGTCCTATCTCAGGTAAAAGGATTCAGTTCCTTGATCTAAATAAAGGACCACTGACGTATGTCCGCGCCAGATAAAGGGGTCCGATCCTTGATCTGCACTGCAGACTTGCGAGTACGTCGGAGCTTGCGAAAGCAAGTGTCAAGTTGCGTTCCTCCTCCAGGACGTAACAATATTTTACATCTTTATTTATACCAACAAAAACGTGACCAAACAAAAAAGTTCTGAATATATTAATAAGATTTATGTATTAATAAGATGTATTTTTACAGAATAATTGATTCTATCCATTTTGTGCAACTCAATGGACAAAGTTCGATTTTCGCGACATTTCTTTGAATTGTAACTATACCTAATTTCTTAACTGATATTATTATTTCATAGGAAATATTAGTTTTGGCATGAATCAAAGTTACTATTTAATTCCTTGATATATTGCTTATGACTGTTATATTTTCGTCATTTTGTACTGCAACTGTTACAAACCTTTAACCACAGCAGCCAAAGCTGGAAATGATGACAAAATTTATTTGACCTCATTGCTATTTTGCAGTGCTATCACAGTATGCTATAGTGAGTCTTGGAACGGATTTTACAGCGTTGCTAATACGGGAAGTGAACTACGCAACGCAGTCCAAGTAGATATAAAAAGAAATAGAGACGAATTTAACATCCGTGAGAGATGCGTGTAATGCGTATATAATTTCTGATTCCGAGGATTATTGAAGTTCATAATGCAAATCCCAATTAAATTTTCTCATAAAACTGCTTTTTACCAAGAAACATTAATTCCGTTAGATATAAGGATTTATTTTTCTTACATTTAACATAAGTAGAGAGAAGTATCGCTCTCCCTTGCGTCTTTCTGACAACAAGCATATAACGCAGACATGTATGATTTGAACAAATTAAGACACGCATATCACAGAACCGTTATTTATTTAAACATACGAAATTGGGAGAAGTAAGAGAGAAAGAGAGAAAATGTGGAGTAAGGAAGGGAAGGAAAGGTGGAGGGAGATAATACAGAATATTAATAACAATAACAGTAATTTCCTCATCTCAAAGAGGATGAAATAAACAAAGTAACATATGGTATTAGCAATTTTTTTATAAACATATTTCAGCCTTCGTAAAACGTAATGTAATTAGGAAGTAATGCACAATCACTAATGTAAATTTAATATATTCGCTATCCATATTCTCTTTTCTTTTTCGCTACAACTTGCAACAGCTCAGGTTTTTTCTTCTGACATTGTTTGTTATGCGCGTTGTTGAAACAACGCTTCCACGCTTTTCCACGGAGTTTCCTCGATGACCGTGGCCGAGAGAAACGCTTCTCTCTCAGTTTCGCT